CCCCACCCCAGATCGGCATCTTCCCGACAGCTGCTTTGGGGGGGGGTGCTCTCCGGCCCTCCTAGGCCCACCACCTGCCTGCCCCCTTTCTCCTGACCTTGGGGCAGAAAAGATGGGGAGGGGTCACTTTTCAGTGGTGCAGCGATGAGACCATGGCTGACCACCAACACTGCCCCCCCAATTCAGCAGGACTCAAAAGAGCTGGCCAGGATGAGGCCCTGCCAGACTGGACAGAGAAAGCCTTGGGGGGGGCAGTTCCGGCCTTTGCTTTTGTGTTTTTGGTAGACAAGAGGGAGGGGAGGGGTTGAGTTAAGTCTCCCCCCCAAAAAAAGAGCCAAACTGCCTCCCTCCTGGAGTGAAAAAAAACCTCTGGGCCCCATCCTTTAGAATGAGTCTGATTTGCCCTCCCGGTGATGGGGGAGGAGAAGGAGAGAAAGAGGGTGCCTCGTTTTGCAATCAAAAAGTCTGGGATAATTTGTGTGTGTGCTTTCTTTCTCCTGCCCCCTTTGCACAGAAACACACACACACAGAGAGAAAGAGAGGGACACACACACACAAGTTCTGTACTTGTCTACAAGGTCGGATCATGTCTCCGTCGCCTGTTGCACACCATGCAGGAATCAAGAGATGGACCCTGTTGATCCAAACTCACATACTGTATATATATATATATATATTTGGCCTGATTTGTGGAGACGGGGTGGGGTATTTCTGACCCCCACTTCACCCCCTTTCCCTCCCCACCCCTAATCCTCCCTCTTGGGTGGGTGGGTGCTTTGTTTTCTATACAATGCTTTTAAAAACTGAGGGGGGGGGTTAACAGAGCTGAGGCTTAATAGGGCAGGGGGCTTTGAAAACTCCAGGGGACATGCATGCGTTTGGGAGGCATGCGTGGTTATGGTTTTAAAACCTCGACATTTTTAAAAATGTGGCTGGATCCAGGTCTCGTGACCGCTGATGCTTTTTCTGGCCTTTTGAGTTTGAACAGTACAGCGGCCGGGGTTTTTTCTTTTCTTCTTTTTCCTTTTTTCCCCCCCTTTTGTTCGGCTTCGGGCCCCGGAGATGTCAGAGGGGCCGCTGCTGGGCCTTGTGGAAGGCTTCCGCTGGGGCCCATCCTTTACTCATGAGTAGGGCCTCTCTTGCGGCTCCAATCCTGATGCTTTGTCCATCGCTAAAGAGACAAACAGGAAGGGTGGGATTTCTAAAACTAAATAAATCTGGGCTCGGATTGATTCTCCGTCTCAAGCCGGCCACGATGCCTCGTGTAAAATCCTGGGGGTGGGGGGTGGGGTTGAGGGTTTGTTTTTTTTGTCCTTGACCAGATGAGGAGCTTTCTTCCAAAGACTTGTGTGTGGAGGGCTCTGGCTGTACAAAATCTGGCCCTGGGAATGGGGGAAGGGAACCGTCCTCCCTCCCCCCAAAAAAACCCCACAGAATAGAATCAGCAAGTGGCCAGTTGCAAAGGGAGGAGGCCTGGCTGCCTTTCTGAGCCTTCTGTGGCCGGCCTCGGACCCCCAGCCCGTTGCCTTGTTTTGGGGGATTGGGGGCTTCTGCCAAGTAACTGGTGGTCCATGTGCTGGGGGGTGTGCGTGAAGAGAGAGCAAAGTGTGTGTGTGGGGGGGGAAGCAGCGGCCAGTAAAGGGTCTGCCTGGGCTTTCCAAGGATGGAAATTTTAGAACTCGGTACATTAGAGGCAGATGATGTTTGTTGATCAGAAAAACATGTGGTTCTGTGTGGTTTTTTTGCTGGTGTTTTTTTTCTGTGTGTGTTTTTGTTTGTTTGAACTGGAGACCTGGATAAATCCGGGGAAGTGGTAAATGTCATTGCTAGAATAAGCTACAAGAAGAAAGCCGCACCATCCACATGTGAATTTGCTGAAGGCAGGTTGAAAAGATACCTATTTCTCCATCTCAGACTTAGGTTTGGAGAGACTTAGGATCTTCCAGGTGTTGGCCAGCTCCGGCTCCCATCCGCCCCTGCCATAGGGGCCCATAGGGAAGGATGATGGGAGCTGAAGTTAGCTCCCCTTGCTTTTGATTTTTACTCACAGGCATGTTAATCAAGGCATCATTTCATTCACCTCTGACGGCCGGATGCCAAATGGAAAACCCGGTTTTCTGTTTGGCTTGTAAACAATTAAGTCAACTAATTAAATGAATCAAAACGTAAACAGGGCCTCCAGCAGCGTGGCTCCTGGATGGTTGGGCACCACAGGATCACTCGCCCTAATTTAGACCATTATTAGGGGGGGGGGATGCTTTTTTTCAGTGTTACGAACCCCCTTTCCAGAAATTTCTAGAGTTTTCGCTATTGGTTTGCAGTCCGTTGTAGCAAAACTAACAAAGGGCAGAACCCTCTCCATCATCCACTCCTCTTGCACAGGGACCCCTTGGGCTCTTTCGGGCTAATTCAAAAAAGTATCCCGCACCCCTTTGTGCCAGGATGAGCCCCGTGTCTTTCAATAGGGTGGGAACACTCTAAAGTTTGTGGGACACTCTGTGAGTACAACCCTTTATGTTCTGCCCAGCATCAACAGGATATTGACCACAGGGCCTTCTGCTGCCTTAAAGATGACCCAGGCTTTATTTGGGATTAGCTTTTGGGGGACTGGAACCCACTTTGTTGATACCGCAAGGGACGAACACGAGCTTTATGTTGGTGTTAGGTGCTCTCAAGTTGCCCCTGACGTCTGGTGACCCTTATGAATGAATGATCTCCAAAATGTCCCGCCCTTAACAGCTCCTGCTCAGATCTTGCAAACTCAAGCCTGTGGCTTCTTTTAGGTAGTCCGTCCATCTCCTATTGGGTCTTCCTCTTTTCCTGCTGCCTTCCGCCTTTCCCAGCATTATTGTCTTTATGAATGAATGATCTCCAAAATGTCCCACCCTTAACAGCTCCTGCTCAGATCTCGCAAACTCAAGCCTGTGGCTTCTTTTAGGTAGTCCGTCCATCTCCTATTGGGTCTTCCTCTTTTCCTGCTGCCTTCCGCCTTTCCCAGCATTATTGTCTTTTCCAGAGAATCCTGCCTTCTCACGAGGTGCCCAAAATAGGGCAGCCTCCATTTCAACATTTTTGCCTCCAGAAGATAGGCTTAATTTGATCTAAAAACCCCATCAGACAGAAGTGCTTCCCACCATCTGAGTGGCAAGTTAACCCCTGAGTTGCTGTAATTCCAGCCAGTGCAGTCACCACCTCACCGTATAGAAACTTCCTTTGTCTCCCCTTCATGCTTTCTCTGATCTGCTCCTCTGCTCCTCCGTGGCTTTTCCTTTTCTGGTTCCAAAGCCAGGGATGGAATTCCCACTTTGGGTTTAAAATATAACAGCCACAAAAAAACACCATCACTGGGTATCATTCTGCAAGAGTTCAGAATATATCCCAGCAGTAGCAAGGTGTGAAATGATAAACCTGCTCCGTAAGTGCTATTATTTAATGTTCTTCTGCTTGCGTCCCTGTGGAACAGCAGCCACTTCTCTTACGCATTGGTTTAATTTCATTTCTTCGCCGCCTCCTTAGTGCAAACGGACAATAAATGAAGCAATAATGTAAAACAAAAATAAGATAGACATACCAAACATTGAAAACAGGGGTGCAGTGCAACTTAAGAATAGCAGGATGGGGTGAAGAGGATCAGAAGAGGGTGTCATTGGACACCTCTCTAAAGCACATTGTTTTCAGAAGCTGTTAAATTTGGGCAAAGAGGAAGGAGACCAGATATAGCTCAAGCAGGAGTTGGTTTCAGAGGGTTGGTGCCACCACCAAGAAGGCCGGGCTTCTAGTTGATGTTTTCTTGGCCACTTGGAGGATTGTAGTTCCTGAGCAAATCTGGTGGTGCGAGTGGATGATCGGGGGACAGGCGCTCTGCCAAGTAACGGTGTCCCAAACCGTGGAGGGCTTTCCATGTGAGCACCAAGGCCCGAGGGGTCAATTTCTGCAGGACACAGAGCACAGATAGCAATCATGGGAATGGCTTTTGAAAAGTCAACATTAAATATAAAAAGGATCGTGTTCCAGGCTGGGACCACAGTGGGGAGCAAAGCCAGAAACACGTGCAAACAAGTATCAGAGCCTCAGTCCGAATTGGGCCTCTGTTTTGTGCTTTAGACCGCTCAAAAGCCATCCATAAAGCCCTT